CAACAATGCTTTTTCTTAAAATTTCAGACCTTTCACTCAATTTTTTCAAATAAATTTAAGTGAAAGGTATGGTTCCCTTAGGTCGGTGTTATGTAGCCCTGTTGGTTTTATTTCTGTATCGCATCGCGTTGAGTTTCTATTTCTTGGTAATTCGGTTTGTGAAATGGTAAACAAATTATTGAAATTTATTTATTTGATGTGTATAAGATTTCATTAATGCATTTTTTTTTGTATTTTCAGACTATTAATTACAAACACAGCATCATCAACGGTGATTGCAAGAACTACTGCCATCCCTGCGGTTTTTCCTCTTGGTAAATGCGTTCTGGTCGTGACCAATGGTGGTCTCCCAAATCGGCCGGGAATAAGGTTAGTCATTTTAAATTTTATATCTTTATTCGTCGACATTATATGACATGTCATCATTGCAGGCTATTGTTGCAGAACAAAACGCCGCAACCACTGCTGTGGTAAATATGTTCCAGCAGAACTGCCCACCGCCGTCGGTGTAATGATTTCGATAGCTGAACAAACGCCATCTCCTGGGCATTCCCACAGCTTGTCGACACTAGCTATTATATCACGTGTGAATGTAACTGGGGCTTAATTTGGTTATTAACAGTGCAATAGTACCATGTCATTGGCAAAAACACTAAGGGCCAATTTCACAGTGCGTTAGTTAACTCCGAATCGACAGTTAACTAGAGATTTTCAGTACAAAAATCTGTAGTTAACTCCCGATTCCGAGTTAACTACGCATTGTGAAATTGGCCCTAAGGGCTGCTGGCACATAGAGGTTGTAAAGTTTTTGGTATCGATGAACATACTCGAAGAAGACGATGGCCGAAAACATATGATGAAACATCTTCTGGCATGCCTTTGACAATCGTTAAGTCAGACGGAGGCTTCACATACGATATTTCACACATGGCTGGAATTCGTTAGCGGACAGAGCACACATTTACAAAATATTTATCGTTCAGCAGAACGTGCATGCATATTCGATTCTGATTTTATGGGTCGACTACGGAGGACAACCGAACTTCAGTTGGTTGGCCAGTGGCTGAAATGGTATTACCGATGGCAACTAGCAACTGAAAGCTGGCAACTAAGTTGCTATATTGGCAAGTGCGTTTTTGTGGCTGCCGGGAATTTTTGATTGAGATACTTTATTTCTTTTTTCAACTTTTTTTTAAATTGTACCACCTTGAACTTTATGAAACTTAATTATTGCTATTCATAATAAAAAACATTTTCATTTCAGTGGCGCTGTCCATCGGCAACCCAACTGAGGTTACGTTCCCATCCATAATCGATCCATAAGTCATAATCGCACGAACTAATCAAGGCTATCATAGAATCCATCGTAGTCCGATTTTTCGTGAAATCTACGAAAATGCTATTAAGTTCGAGTAGCTACGAACGCAGCGCTTGCTTTGAATACACATAGCAGTTCAGATTCAGTGATCGCTTTTTTCGTAGATTTTAAGAAAAATTGGACTACGATGGATTCCGCCACCAATATGTTTTCTCCTTTGACAAGATGTTGGAGAATCACGGCAGCACAGCCGTATTCCTACTCTTTGCTCTTACGCGCATATGCTAAATTTCTCGCACCTAGCTTAAGTGCTTGACAAAGGCAGAAGGCATATCTTCAACATTATAACTTAAAGTAAAAAACTTTAAGGCATGCAATAAAAGAATCGACAGAACCAAAAAATGTTCTCAAAACTATTAAACATAAAAAATTACACGAATAAAACTCATAATTTAAAATAAAATATCGCAATTGTTTTTTATATGTACATACATATTTACAAAATGAATCTTAAAGCACCCACAGTAAGTCCTAAACATATAAATGACTAATAAGAAAAATAATAAATAACAGTAATATGAAAAAGTATGTCGAGAAATCTCTAAATAGTAGCTAAACTGTATCTCAATAATAACAGATAATTTTAAGCAAAAAATACAACCGACTTCAATGCGCATTCAGGTCGTTCTGGTTACGTAGATCCGACTGTCTTCCCTTTTTTTAAATCGTTAAAAAAAAAATTATTACGTATTCTACAGAAAAAAATCAAGATTCATATTTAAGGATTTTAAGTAAAAATAAATAAAGGAAAACTTGTTCGTGATATCTTGACCAAGGTGTATTCATGGTACAAAAATCTGAAGGTAAAACCGTTGAAAGGCAGCCTGAACATTTTTAAAGTTTGCTAACATTACAAAAATGTTTTCAAATTTCCAATCTCACAAATACATTCTCATTATCAGTCTCAAATAAATGAAAATTTCAATATTTTCATCTATTTGTTTTTTGTTTTGCCTTTAATTGGCATTTGAGTTGCTCTCAAAATTTCAATTTTATAAAATAGACAAACTACAAAAAGTAAATGATATCATGGGTGTATTAAACAACAATGCTTTTTCTTAAAATTTCAGACCTTTCACTCAATTTTTTC